GCCTGTCTCCATGTAATCAGAGGCGTTAGTACTAAAGTAATCGTAAGGAGTACGCGTTCGGCGCTGTGATTGGTTGGTTCATTGGCGCCGGCCAATCAGAGGCCTTAGTACGAGTTTTATTTACGTTTAAAGTAATCGTAACGAGTACGCGTTCGGCACTCTGATTGGCCGGCGCCAAAGAACCAACCAATCAGAGCGCCGAACGCGTACTCGTTACGATTACTATAAACGTAAAACAAAGTCGTACTAAGGCCTCTGAGTGCCGAACGCGAACTCGTTTCGAATACTTTAAACGTAAATCAAACTCGTACTAAGGCCTCTGTTACGTAATTTTGTGAAATGTTTGTAATTGCATCATACTACAGGTAGAAAAAAAACAAGAAAATTTTGAAACAAAATATATTTAATACGATCTTCACTTTACAAATTCTCGTTCAGTAACTGCCTAATCGGCTTCATCAACTATAACTATAATAAGTCTGGGTTTGTAAATGACACAACCGTATAAGAAAATGTTCTACATTAAACCGTTAGTGCCTTAAAAACAAGGAACGTTAGGAGCTATGTACACAAACTTATAACTCAACATGAAGTCAACACGACCGATGATATTTATTACTGGCTGCAAAAATATGGCATACCTAATAAAAAAAGTGGTTGTCAAATTTTCGCGCCATAAAATTGTTTAAGAAACGTCATTGTTATGGGAGAGCGATAACCTACATAGTGGGACAGTGTGAGATTAGAAGTACCTACCAATAAAACACTTTAAAATTAACTATGATAAATGAAAGTAATATTATTGTCAGTGGAGGAACTAAGTAACTTTATTTGAAATATCTACTGAACATCCGGATCTTTAAAGACAATTGTCTTTGTTCTACAACATTAACATGAAACAGTAAGTACAGCCTAGAAACTTAAATGCTTGTTTTATAATTCAATAAATAACAAGAGTATCTTATCGCCATTCACGTCTGTAGACGATAAGTGATTATGAAGTACCTATTTATATTATTATGATAACGTGAAAGCTCTGGATAGTTCTCGAATAATCTATTTCCTTCGAATGATAATATTCTTACAACAATGTTGCAATATTGTCGTTAGTATAAGATAGGGATTCAACCATTTGATTAAAGTTTTGTTGCCGTTAATAAATTCATTTTTTGTTAAGTACATTACATACAGACATTGTTGTGTTTAATATTGTTTAATAACACATTACATTGGACATTTAGGACAATGAATCAGGGGCGTAGTAATTGACTGTTGGTGTTTGTGACTTGCATATACCATGGTCCTAGGTTATGAAAAGGGAGGCTCCATTGTCCAGAAAACTTTAGGAATATTACGTAACCAGGGCCTACATCGAACAATTATTTTCTATGGACATATTAAATAAATTATTATATAGGTATAATTAATTCTGTAAACCAGTAATGTAAAATATAATCGGCCGTGTGAAACTCGCGTTAACCTAAATATTGTAAAAATAACTAACCATTACCTACACTCTGTAACTGATATGCTTATTGCGGTGTAACTTTGTCCCCTTTGACAAAAATATACGAATAATTAATAGGAAGCCAGCTGGCAACACTGATCCGAATTAGTGCTGAAACATTTTTATTATCTTATTGAGAAAAGTTACACCTAACGTGACACGAGTTTAATATTCGTTTTAAATTAAACTCAAAACATTAAATAAATACCTGGGATTTTTTAATTTTCGAAACTGCAATTTATGATTTTATTCCGATTTATAGCGTTGGTCAAACATGCTGAAGTCATTTTATAAACATTAAAATTATTGTTGCCAAGCAAAAACATAATTCATTTAATAATTTCTTTATAGTTTTCTATTGCACATCACTACTAATTTGAATAAATAAATAAACTTGGCCATACTAACTTGGTCGAAATGTCTATTACAATTTTGGAAGTATTACAAAGATTAACTTAAAGTACATACATTGTTCAAATATAAAATCGAACTATTGCAATTAAAATTTAGTCGATTATTTCAACATTAAAGTTAATATTAACAACTATTTGATCACCAGACATGTATTAAAAATTATTATTTATAGATCTTACTGGCGAGCTCAAGGCAACGTCATGATCATAGATATTAATGCAGAATGCTTATCGGTCCAGAACTACAGAGTATTTTTCAATCAAAATTGACAGTAAATTCTCAGAGCAAAGCATGGTGTATTCGAATAAGGAAATACAATGCTTTACAGTACAAATGGTAAAATATCAGATCGTAGGCACTAGTACGAAAGAGTAGACAAAATCTAAAGTAGACCGTGATTTAGGTAACACCGATACTTGGAACTGATATTTTTTACGCACACGGGATTTACCTATTTGGCAGATTACAGAGATAGGCGCTTCAATATGTAGGCATTTTGCTCGATGAGATCACCTTCACGACTACTTGAGATCGCAGATAAGATAAATAAATAGGTTTACTTTCGACAAATTTTAATTAATTATACTTAACTTCACATCACAATGGTTTCAAGAATTTGCAAAAAGCTGCAATCATGCTCATCTCTTTACGTCAATACTTAGGTAAAATTTGTTCTACATTAACGCTATCTTGCTTTATTTTCAGCAGAATAGCAACTAACGTTACTAAAGACGAATTGAATCGTCATCGCTTTGAATTCCGTAGATAGCATGGCATTGAATTAGGTACAGTGAAAATGTTATTAACTAATAAAATCGGCTAGGACAACATAGGTATATGTATACAACAACAATTGAAATATATAAAACAACAAATTGTTGTAGTAAATACCACAGTGAATTCTAGTACACACAAACTAGTAAGATATGAGACGGTATTCGTAATTATTGCAGAATGGAAACTAAACATAGTTGCTTCTATCTTAAGTGGCGACATCTAAGAACATTAAACATAATGATTACTGTCTCACATATTACAGTATGTTGCATCTGCTGCAAAAAGCTGCTAAGTAGTTCCACTATCAGTCTTAGTGTCCAATTAGTGGCAATTGATCTCTAGCATGTACCGAAAAAGGTATTTACCGGCACTTAGGAGACTCAACACATGTTAGAGATCAATTGACGATAGAAATGCATTCAAATCTAATAGGTTAGCAAGTTGAGAGTAAGCTCCATCTATGTATTAGCACAGCACACATATACATTTATTGAAAACGGTGTGTATTGAAAGATCGTACAGCTGCAAGGACACAAAGCATTTCTTCGCCTAGTTATGGACGGACACGTAATTGCTCATTCATAATATATAAATTAAGGAGTTTCAACACTAATTCGACATCCTGACGTTCTAGTCAACCTTGAGAGACGGTGCCCTCTCGTTCAGTCAGTAAATGAAATGTATACAGTGTGTTCTTGGTTAGAAACGATTAAAAAGTGTATTGTATTTTTATATCTGAATAAACTTTTGAGGTTTATTTTACGTTAAATCGTGGCAGTATTAAAATATGTTTATGTTACCCTGAACGAAACGGCACAGTGTCTAAAGGCAGACGAATTTATAATTTGTTTCTTGAAATATTTTCTTTTGGCACTGACATCTAAGCCGCATTCGCGGTTCAAGTATTCCACAACTTCATCTCAACATTAAATATTTACACCATGTATACCCTGAATTTAACAATATAACCATGATTTTAAAGTAAAATATACTATAAGATGATGATGATATTTAAATACACTATATTAATACTGTATTTACAAAAATATGATATTACTATTTCGTTTTCAGTGTTGCCCGTTATTTTATTTAATAATATCAGCTATTGTTTGTATTTATATGCAAATTTTCGGTTAATAATTTGCAAAAAATATAATTTTCAATGTTTAGTTTGGAAATTCTACCATTTTGGTAGAAAGTAAAACAACGAGCAACACAAAACAGTATGTTTTCTTTATAGTTCGGTGTGATTTTTGACACATATTTGTACATTATATTTTGTTTAGAGGAAAGTGGAAGGTGGATGCACGAGGTGTCATAGATCAAAGACAAGAGAAAATTATTTCACGAATATATTATTCTCTTGACTTTAATTTACGAATCCACAAAAGTTCAACGTGTGCATCCATTAAAGACATTAATTTGTTCAATGTTTTCGTTTTAAGTCATAAACATTCGTTCTAAATGATCGTTCATTTTTCTATTACACTTCATACATTTTCGCATAAGTAGTTAACACAATTTTATTATTTATTAATTCGACGGAATTCGCCAAAAATGACACGTTTTAAAAGACTAGCAACGCGTCATTTATTTTATTTTGTAATTTTATATAATTTTAGGACGAATTTAGCCCGTATATTATGAGTAGATACATAAATAATTTATGATGTAAGGTAAAGGTAAATAAAAAAAGTTCTTTCAAAGTAAAAATAATTTTAAATAATATGACTTTGTCGAAGTTTAACGAAATATAGCAAAATGAATCTTTGTATAGTTAAATTATAAATAGGATCTAAACGCCATCAGTATTCCACTGTCAACGTAACATATTAAGATCAGTACTAATCCGTAGCCAACATTTATTATGACAACTTAACTTTAAATTTAAATTATGTACACACTTATAGTAGCTGTAAACTGGCAAGTAATATTTAATACTGGAAACATAAAAATAAATTATAAAGTTATTGAAACATAACCTAAATAAATGATTATTTACATGTTGCAACACTGCATCCGATGTGTTAGCTAAATCAAAATTCAGACCGCGATGCGGTCGATAATATTTAGACTAAAAAAGACTAAAAGGCCTTCATAATATACGGATAGGCCACGTTATAAAGGACTATTCAACCACACATTGACTATATCACCGATAATTTCGACTAACCTCCTCTACAACTTTCTGTCTAATCTCAATGTTCGCCTTTATTACAAATATAAACAAAGTACGAAGTTACAATCAGTCAAACAAACGTGAATTTGTGTCGGCAGACCGGCCGCGAGCCGCGCGCCGCGCCTATAGTACGGGCGTCTTCCTCGACGGGACGTCGGCACTAGCCTTGGGAAATACTGCTTCTATATATTATTGTGATCAAATATTCTCAATACGCGAATAAGGGTCGCCTTCGTTACGTTAAAAAATAGTTTCTTCTGTAAACACTATGGAAGTCACAAATCCGCGGGCGAGGCCCGGAGTCGGGAGCGGAGCCGGGAGCGGAGCCGGGAGCGGAGCCGGGAGCGGAGCCGGGAGCGGAGCCGGGAGCGGAGCCGGGAGCGGAGCCGGG